AAAAAAAAAAAAAAAAAACACTCTACACTGAGCTACACCCTTAGCCCCTACAGGCTTATTGGTTAGAACACCTTCAGAGCCTCATTCAACTTTGGTTCCAAGCACCCAGTACTAGCCAAAAGCAGAAAGGAGGCGCCAGTGAGTGTTGATTGAATAAATGAATGAGTGAATAAACTAATGAACTTTTTGAAACAGTTCCCCTTGCAGTTTATGCCCCCTTCTTCTCCCTCACCAGACTCACCAGTGCCCACTGGAGTTGCCTTGGCCTCAGGGGAGACCTCTGGCTTCTGGTTAGGTTGGAGCTTGGGCATGGCGAGCAGCCTGACTTTGTGGGTGTCCTCCCTCAGGCTTGGGGCTTCCTCTTTTTCAACAGTACTGCGTGGAAGGGTTTTGTAGGAAGCAGAGAAGCCATCAGCAGTGACAGTAAGATCAGAGACGAACTGGACCAGGAGTTCATTTCCTTCAGAGGTGATGGGGCTGCGGGTGGCAGAAGGTCGGGGGAGGTGACAAGGTAGGATGTGCACCCTGCTCCCTCTCCCGCTTGGTGATCTTTTGACTTCTGCCCTCTGATTGCCTGCACTAAATTTCCTGACATTGGAGAATTCCCACACGATTCTTTTTATTTTTTTTGGCGGGACTGGTGTGTGAGCTCAGGGCTTTCCACTGACAAAGCAGGCTCTCTACCGCTTGAGCCACGTCTCCAGTTTGTTTTTCTCTGCTTATTTTGGAGATGGGGGAGGAGGTTCTCACAAACTACTTGCCCAGCCTGCCCTTCAAACTGCAATCCTCCTGATCGCTGCCTTCCGAGTAACTAGGATTACAGACTTGAGCCTCCAGCACCCACACGAGATTCTGGGATCCACAGATCCCAGACCAGGCACCAAGCCTTGCACGTGCCTGCTCCACCCCCACTTGCTCCACCCCCACTTGCTCCACCCACCATCAGACCCCGCCCCTTCATCTGAGCTCCCCGCCCCAGCTGAGTTCAGCCCCACCCCCATGCCGGCCCTTGTATTCTGTCCAGAGAATCAGAGTCCCGTCCAGCCACCCCCACCCAGAACCCACCCCCTCACCGCGGGGCCTGGTCACCGCAGAACTTTCCCAGTCTCTTGGAATCGTCGCTCACAGCTCCATTGAACACGCTGACCGAGTCATAGCGACAGTGGGTGTCAGACTCCAAGTCGAACTTCCCAAAGGTCAGGGCGATCACCTGGCGGCGGCTGAGGCGTTGGCTGCGTGGTGGACCCGAGGACCAGTGCCCTACACCTGTCGCTGCCATCTGCCTCCCGACCACTGGCAGCACCTCCTCTCCTTGCCCCCTCCTTGATGCATTCACACGCACCACGGCTGGGAGGATCTCTCTCTCACACACACACACACACACACACACACACGCCAGATAACACCAGGGTTATCTGGTCGCTCTAGTCAATTTTATCCTGACCTCACCCCATAGTGCCACACGCAGTTTATATCTGCACCGTGTGTGTACCTTGCTCTCCTAAGACTGGTCATAGTTTTTGTTTGCGTGCAAACAGAGTCTGGGTGCAAAGTTGGGGCTTGGGACATAGAGGTTCAAATGCATCTCTGCTAGCAGCATGCTGGAGGACGCCACCTGTGTCCCCTGCAGGCAGCCCTGGCAGGGGGACAATTACCTGATCCGGGGGTGCAATGATGTGCCAGGAACAGCTGATGCCTGGGGGGTAATCAGACTCAGGCCAGTTGGGTGTAGTTAGGATTCCCTGCGCCTTCTCCAGCCGCCCCCCGCAAACCTGGTGCTCTGAGGAGGGAAGAGAGAGAGAGGCGGGGTGGGGGGCAGTGGAGATCCTTGTCAGCTGGAGGACAGCTCTAGGCTGGGAGCCAGGCAAGGCAGCTCGGATGTCTCAGGGTCTCAGGATGAGGGGGACAAGGACAGGAGAGAGAGAGGTTAGCAGAGAAGGGGAAGGGAAGAGTGGGGTTCAGGGCAGACTGGGGTGCAGTAGAAGGGAAAGAGGAACTGGCTGGAGGGCTCCCTTCTTGGCCCTCCCCTACCCGCGGCCACACCGCGCCTCTTCCCCTGGAAGATCCCATCTACCCGGCCCGGCAGTAGAGTTCCCTTTCCAGGCTTGCCAAGGAGTCCTCTCTTGGCCCTTTTGGGGAGGTCCCTTCCTGAAACATCTCCAGGGACACTCATGCTGCCGGGAGGAGGTGATGGGACCGCAATCGGTAGCCCAGGGCTGGATGTAGGGGGTTCCAGGTGGGGGAACCTAGTCCCCCAGCTCTGGGGTGTCCCCCTTGCACCCATCAGAGGGAGCCCGATTGCGGAGGGGGGCGGGCAGTTACTCACCGTCCCAGTAACCCCAGGCCGCCCATTCCACCCGTGGGTCCATGACCCATTTCCGCCTTGCGCCTGGGCGGGGGCCTGGAAGAGGGGTGGGTAGGAGCGGGAGGGGGAGAGAAGATGGGGAGGAGGGACTGAAGGGGCGGTTAGTGAGGAGAAAGGGCAGTAATGGTGGCCCTAAGCTCTTGGGAGGATCCTCTGGGGTTCATTCAGGCAAGGGAAGGGTGGGGCCTGTGCCAAGGTGGGGCCAGGAGAGGGAAAGGTGGAGGCGAGGGAGGCTCATCATTACCTGAGGGGACCCGCCCGCTGTACCAAATCAGGAAGCCTCGTCCTGCTGTCCCCTCATCTGTTATCATTCTCAAAGTCACTTCATTGCCTGGGGCGACTATGGGCGCAGGCCGGAAAGTCCCGCAGAAGCGCCCCAGCCGCTGCTCCCTTGAGATTCTAGATCCAGCAAAGACCTCAAGAACATCATACCGGCAAAAGGACTGCAGCTCCAGGTCAAAGACTCGGAAGGAGAGGGATACAGACTGGCCCTCGGGGACCTGAGGCAATCGGGGTGGGGGAGCCCATAAAGTCAGGTTACACACAACTCTGACAGAAGGCATCTCCCCTTCCTCAAGCATTTCCTACAGAAGCAGGCTGAACTGCAAGGGACCCTATGCAGGTGTAAACCTAGAGGTCCTGGGCTCTGTTGCAGGCTTGTGGGCTCTGGGTAGATGAGAGAGGACAGGAAGGAAGTTGAAATTGGAGAATCAGGATTTGAGGCAGGGCACTGGTGGCTCACACCTGCAATCCTAGCTACTCAGGAGGCAGAGATCAGGAGGATCAAGGTTCAAAGCCAGCCTGGGCAAATAGTTCTTGAGACCTTATCTCGAAAAAACCCTTTACAAAAAAGGGCTGGTGGAGTGGCTCAAGGTGTAGGGCCTGAGTTCAAGCCCCAGTATCTCAAAAGAAAAAAGAGAAAATCAGGATTTGAGTTATGGGTTAAGAATTAAGGCTCAGAACACTTATTGTGAGAACCAAAGGGGAGAGGGCTTGGTTGAGGTGGTGGTGCCTGGTGGAGGAGGGGGCACCCCGTAGTGGTCAGGCCTTTGCCTGGATTACTGATAAAGGACACTGACCAGAGGGGCTTTCTCACCTTTATTGTCCACAAGCATTCCTTATTGGGGGGGTAGAGGTTTGGGAAACCCTCACTTGCCACGTAACCAGAGTCCCCGGTCACATTCCCTCCACACAAGAACACAGGTCTGGAGAAAAAAAAAGGGGTCATTCAAAAGGGCAGAATGGCAGGGAGCCACAGATGGGATAGTGCATTTGTGAGGCTAGGTGATGAAGAAGGAAGGCCATAGTGACCCCAGGGAAGCATCGAAGAATCAACTGGCAGGGCTGGGATAAGGAAAAAAGTGGGACCAGGAACTGGAGCATCCCTGTAACCTCCAGGGGCCCACCCCCCACCCCCATCCAGGGACAGGAATTCTCGGAATCCTCCTCAGCCCCCCCTTCCTCATTCTCCTCCTTCGCCCTGCCTGGCAGACAGGGACAGGAGCCGCCTAACTACTTCCAGATGTGGACAAGCCACGAGGCGGTGCGGGGGGAGGGGGCGGAGAGATGAGGGGAGCAGTGACGGCCCTGCAATTGCTCACTGGTCTCCCACCTTTGCCCTGATCTTGTTCCAATTCCCAGGGCTCCACTTGCTGCCCCCTTCTCTCCCTCTCATTCCTTCCTGGATCCCAGATGTCAGCTACCAGGCAAGTTCAGGGTCTTGGCTCTCCCTTCAAGCTCCATGGGGGGTAGGAGGCATGGGTCTGGGTGGAGGGGGAGGCTTAGGAGGGCAGAAGACAAAGGGTGAAGGAATAGGAGCAGTGGGAACCTGAAGGAGCCGGTGGTCTTGCAACAGAGTGGGAGGACTTGGGAGCCAGAAAAGGGGAAGATGAGAAATATGGGGGGCAGATTAGCAGAACCCTGAAGACCTATAGGTATGCCTCTCCCCTGGCCCCCCAGGAGTCAGGGTTTTGAAGCTCACTCTAGCTGTGTGGAAGACGTCGAGACCTACCTTGTGTAGTTGGGGGTCTGGCCCTGTGCAAAAGGCAGCAAGAAAGGCAGCACCCAGGCTGTGAGGAAAGGCCCCAGGAGGGAGGCTGGAGTGGCCGCCGGCAGCATGATGTGAGAGGGAGGGTGTTGGGGTCCGAGGCCTGCCGGAGGTAGCAGCTGAGTTTAGCCTCAGCAGCAGCAGCAGCAGCAGAGACAGGATAATCAATGCCAGATGAGGCAGTCCCGAGTGTGTGGGTGTGTGGGCGTGGGGACTGGCCAGTGGGGCGGGCGGCAGGAAGGCGGGACAGGGAGACATCTGGGACAGTGGTAAGTTCAGGGGCCTCTTTACATCTATGACACAGATTGACCTAAGAAGAGGGAGGAACAATGAAGGGGCAGAGAAGCATCCTCAGTTCCCAGGCCTTCAGCAATGTCATCTTGTAAGGGAACAAATGTGCGGGGAGATAAAATGGCAAAAATGTCCCTAGGAACAAACAACAGAAATAACCCTGGGGATGTAAAGGGATGGATGGCAGAAGTAACTTTGTTTTAGATAAAGGAGGTAGGAAGGCAGACTTAAAAGCAAAACATTTAGG